AAAAAGGCTAAGCAGCCATCCATTTTTTTTTTCTTTTTCTGGAAGGTGAACACATTTGAAGTCAAATGGCAGAAAACAGAATTCTTATCAAGCATTATGTCTAGTCCTCTGAAATATATTTAAAAATTTTTCTGCCTAAGGAACAGGAAAGCCAACCTAAATTAACTTCGAAAAAGAAAAACATCTGTGTCTTTGTTTTTATTAAGTACAATTGGACGAAAATTCTGCAAGATTAAATAAAACAACTATTTTCATTGGTAGTAATTCATTTACTACTTGAATAATAACAGATTTAGCATTTTTTTGGTTTTCACAATTAATTTCTAACGATGTTAAGAAATATAATTATGAAATGTTATTACTGAATTTATCTTTAACAAAACATTTTTCTTTTGGTAGGTTCATGTTCACAAGGATGGGTAGCATTAAAAAATAGCTGTTACAGAATTAGCAAAGAGAGTAAGCCATGGAATATAGCCCAGCAGCATTGTAAGTTATCCCTAAACTCTGCACAACTTGTGGATATAAAAAGTGAAGAAGAAAAAAAATTTATATTTTCACATCTCAGGTCAAAGAATCAAATAATAATATGGACTGGTCTTAACGATCTGAAGGTCAGTAAATATAAAGAAATGCATATATTGTGATAAACAGTACTGTTTTATCTGTGTTCATTCATTGTTCATTCATTGTTTATTCCTTTATTCTTTCCTTCATTCAATAAATATTTACTGAGTATTTGTTACAAGCCAGACACTGTTTCTCTTTTTATTTTTCCATTCTCTTTCTGCCTGTCTCTCTTTTTAACAGCAGTTATAGGCTCACAGCAAAACTGAAGGAAAGGTGCAGAGATTACCCATATATCCTGCCTCTACACATGCATAGCTTCTCCCATTATCAAGTCTAGAGTGGTACATTTGTTACAACTAAAGAACCTACATTATAATCACCCAAAGTTCATAGTTTACATTATGGTTCACTCTTGGCATGTACATTCTATAGGTTTGGGCAAATATGTAATGACATGTATCCATCATTTTGATATCGTAAGAGTATTTTCACTGCCCTAAAGATCCTCTGTCTCTGCCTATTCATCCCTTCCTCACTTCCTTCCATCTCTTTTGTAGGCATTTATTTCTTTGCCTAATTTTGCTTTAATTTTGGTCTTTTCCATACCCCTCTTTAATGCATTTGAGTGATCTCATCCATTTCTTCACTTACTTTATCACGTAAACCAATGGTTCTCAAATATTGGTCTGACTCACTTTCTTTTTATGAGCTCCAGACATCTATCTAATTTTCTTCTGATTATCCCTTTTGGAATTTTCCAGACACGTCAACATTACCCTGACTGACTTGTCATCTCCTTCCACTTCGTCTGTTTCTCACCTCTGTGAATAATACAATAACATGAACCTGAAAACCTGGGCTTCTCCACTTTATTCCTTTCACTCCACACGTCCAAGCTTATGAAGCTCAATTTTACCAAAAACAAAAACCAAAAAACAAACAAAAAAAAAACCCCAGAATATCTGAGATTTTATTCAATACCAGTGAAAAGGAGCGTGTGACATTTTTCTTCACTATTCTTAACACTTTGAGATATCTCATGAAATTTCATTTTGGTCAGCATTTTGTAGGAAAACGCAAGACCTGGCACAATTATTTCTGTCTAGTGTATGTTTTTTTTTCCTGATAATCCATTTAATTTTATTTCCTGCTACTCAAAAATAAATCTGTTCTCCGTGAGATACCCTGATCTGTAGTGACCCAAGGCAAATTCTATCAGGTTGATACCAATTTTTCTGTGGAACTTTGCATAAGTGGGAGGAAAACTATTGGCAATCTTTAATTACATTTTCATCCTCTTTTTGAGCTTCCTTTATCTTTTAATAGGCAGAGAAAGAAGTTCTGATAAAGATTCCTCATATCACATAATTCCTTTCGGACATCTCAGAAGCCCCCTGCCAGCATTCCAGCCTCTTTCAAAGTATACTAGTTAGTGTATATATTATTGTTTCCTGCTGTTAGCATGATTGTTATAAGCTTTTTAAACTGTTTAAATTAAATGTTCTTCCCAGAGTTATGGTTACTGGTTTTGATTAAAAAGTTCAGGTAATATGGTCAAGATAGCCAAAGAGGCTCTTAAGGCATCCTCAGCGGTTGCTATGAATTCTTCAAAAATGTTTAAGATACAGTCTCTGTTTTGAGGAGACTTAAAAATAACTTGGGAGGTCAATGAAACAAAGTAACTATAAACAATTTATTTATAGTAGTAGCTAGGTCCTATAGTGTCTCCTAAGTGCTAAGCACCATTCTATGTGCTTTATTTGTATGACATATAAGGACACTGCATGCAGCACAGGGAGGTTAACTTGTTCATGTGGACACGCATCAGAGTCTGCTCTTAACCACTGTCCTGGATGACCTCTGCATTAAGCTGGTCTCTTGAGGTTGACATCAAAGTTACCTGCTGGGTTATAATCCCTGTGGTAGGTTGAGAAAGCCATCAGCTCTTTCACTCATGCTGAACAAGTGCGAGTTTGTTACTGGATTTCAAGGATAGATTGTCTTATTCATCAGTGCATTCCCAGCTTCAGCTGGGGCCTGGCATTCAGCAAGCCCTTACTGAATGAAAGGTTAATAGTCTCCATGTTACACTTTGTGAGGGCTATATAGGTAACACTCATTTAGTTCTCACAACAACCTTTGAGGTAGGCACTATCATTATTCTCAATTTATGGATAAGGAAAATGGAGCTCAGAAAGTTCCTGGGTCACATAACTAGTAAATGGCTGTGCCGGGCCTTGAACCTGTATCTGTCTCACTAATACTCATGCTGTAACTGCTTGAATATACTCCCCTTGAGCTTCTGTGTTCAAAACTGCAGCACCATGTATGCAATAAAGCAGACTCTTTGAGGAAACAAATATTCCTCCATCCGTTAGGTGGAATTGGGATGTATTTTTTAAAAATTTCTTTAGACTGTTTGGAGGGAGCACTTCTCTTTAATCCTCATCTGTGCAGCTAGTTTGGAGCTGTGCTTGATGCTGGGATGACATGTTAATCACAATATAGACATAGTCTCTGTTTTCTTAGCACTCATTATCTCTGTAAAAATTTTATTTATGAAGAGCTATTATGTGCCTTGTGTTTTGCATACACTCTCTCTCAAACTGTTGACAACCATGCAAAGTAGTTATGACATCTCCATTATACAGGTAAAAAAGTTTAGTTTCTAAGGAGGTTAGCAGTTGTCCAAGAATAGCTTAGTAGTAGAAATATTGATTAGGATACAGGTGTATCATTGTCAAAGCTTGTACTTTTCCTACTACGCCTTTCAAGGAGGGTAGCCACATGACTGTCTAGAGATATCTTCATTACTTATGAGAATTGAGATTGGTGATATTCACCAATGACATCCCTTAGCAGAAAAGTAACAACCTCTCCTGATGCATACGACTTATTTGATGACTTGAAATAAAATAATACCTAATGAATAATGGGTCTGTGCCTGGCATTGTGTCGAACCTTTCACATGCACTCCCTTTTTAATCCTCACAACAACTTAAGATGTAGATTCTATTATTATACCCATTTTACAGATGAGAAAATAGAGGCTTAGAGATATGGCTAATGAGTGAATGAAAGTGAACTCTATCCCCAGCTCAGAATCTTTATCAATAAGGAAATCTACATAACTGTGTTAAACTGGTGATGACTTAATCTTAGAAAATTTTATAATGCAGGTGAGACTAATACAAATTTTCAAATACACTTGTTTGAAGATATGACATTTCCCCTTTAAATTGGCTTCATTTGTACATCTTGTTACAGAATGAAGGTCATCTCACATGGACAGATGGAACATCTTTTGGACTTAAGAAAAATGAAATCTTTTCTTTTCCACTGCTACCCAAGAATGAAACAAATTGCTACATTTTACAGCAAAATGCAACTGGCTCAAACTATTTTTTTGCAAGATTTTTCTGCTATGTTCCATTGCCATATATTTGCAAATATGAATGTAATTATTTTTATTAGTATTCTTATATATGCATCTCATTCTTTTATTTTAAAAATAGAATTGTAGTTTGTAATTAAAATAATTTTTAAAAATATTTCTTTCAGCACCTTCTCTGCAGGAAAACCTTTTGATCAATATAAAGGATGTTGGAACAACTGAAGTTGTATTTAGTTGGAATAATTTGAGTGGTTGGAATAATTTGAATAAGTGGCTGCAACTAGGATATAAAATTATCATTAAATATTATTTAGATTATACAGAACAACATTTTGAGAGCTTGCCCCCAAATACTACGGAAAAATCAATTACCCAACTATCTTCTGGCCATGTTTACAGATTTTTACTCTTTGCAATAAATGAATGGGAAGCCAAAACCACGTTAAGTCCAGTATTCATTGTTGAAACACGTAAGTTGCAAGACATCTGAAATTATAATTTTTTAAGTATTTAGTATCATCATTAGTAGGTGTTTCCTGAGGGTCTGGTATTTTCTCATAATACTTGGGGCATACCTGCAATTTTACCAATTTTAAATTACTATGAATCTGTTTATGTGTTTGACTTTCCTGTTTAACTATCAACTCATAAGGAACTATATTTCATTAGACATATAGCATCAGCTAGACTGGTGCCCAGTCCATAGTAGATAATAAATTTCTGTGGAAATGAATTTTTGATATGTGCTAATAGCAAGAGATAAATAGATGTGTGTCTGGACTTTAATAGATAGTATTACAATGGAGAGAATTTGTAAGGAATAAAAATAAATGCAAACAAAACTCTATAGCAAAATATAACCTGAATTCCTACTGATGGTGCACTTAATAAATGCTTCCTAGAATTCAGAGGGTGGGTGACTGGGAAAGACTTGTGCGAAGGAGAGGCTTAGACTCAAACATGAAGAAAGAAAAACATATGAGCCAATGCCTGTAGACATGAATTTGTGGGAAAAGAATACCACAGACTGACTGGAGAAGGTTTTCTTGGGTATAAGGGTGCAATCAGTTTGAGAGGTAGGTAGTGGCAGATTTGGGAGTATCGGGGGTCTCTGTGTCAGATGGTTGGACTTAACCTTAGAAGCAATGGAAATCTGTTAAGACTATAGTTTTTAAGACATGCTTTACCTTCCACAAAGCACTCAATGCATTATCTCACCCAGCTCTTACCTCAACTTGGAGTAACTAGAGAAAACTGGACTTCAGAAAGGTTAAGTAAACTGACTAGAGTAACATGCTTTAGTAAGTAGTAGAGCCAAACAGGAACCCAGATGGTATTATTTTTAACTCTTGAGATATTGCTTCTAAAGAAAGATTAGGAAGAATGTATGTTGGGAGATATGGATAGGGAGATAGGGAACGGATATGGATTTGTGGCTGATACGTGCAAGGTGCTGTTTTAAGAAAATTAATCTGCAGGGATTAACTAGGAATATCACTGGTACTGGATGAAATGGTTTGTAGTGGGGAAATATTTCTGTAAGAGGATGAGCGCCTGTGATGATGGGAATGAAGAGTGTATGATATGAAGTCCCTGCCCTCTAGTCTGACAAGACAGAAGAGACACATATGGTGGTTCTTGTAATAATAATAATAATGATTGAACAATAATGTGTGTCATACACTGTGCCAAGGGCTTTATATTTCTTATTTAACCTCACAATAAATGAGGCAGCCACTACTATAATTCCCATTTTATAGTCAAGAAAAGTGAGGCTCAAAGAGAGTAAGTAAATTACTCAGGGTGCAGAGCTGGAAAGTGGGAGAGCTGGGGCTCAAACCCAGTTTTTCTTTTTTCTTCAAACTAGAGTATTATGGAAGTACTGAGAAGTGAGAGATTATTCCGCCAAATCATGTCACTAATATCATGCGTTTTCTGAAATTTTTTATCTCACAGGCCCATTATCAGCCCAAAATTTCGCAGTGACTCATGTGACCCCAACAGAAATATTTTTACACTGGGATCCCCCAGATCCTGTGTCTTTTCACCATTATCTTGTGACTATTTTGGATGTTGAAAACAATAAATCTGAAGAGGTGTCTGTTGCAAAACTCAACACGTCCATAACGATTAGAGATCTCAAATCGTTCCACCATTATCTGATCTATCTATTCAGTGTAGCGGAAAGAGGAACTTTAAGCTGCTTTGAGAAACCTATTTCAGCCATTACAGGTGCGTGTGGGCTTATTTTGTCTTTTAACAAAAAATGTAAACTGCATATGTTGGAATATTATTTTGGTGAAATTTAATGATGTCAATCCTTTATAGGAACAAATACAGGTGAATATTTGTGTGAATGTTGAATCACAATTTTAAACATGGATTCTAAATACTGAATTCATTTAGATTTAAACTCCTACCAGAGTTTCTAGAAGACATCTTCCTTATCATAGCCTTAGCGAGAAAATTATCACAACATATGGAGATTAGTTCGCCCAGTTCTCCTTAATAACCCTAGAGCCAACAAATAATTCTCGGCACATTTAATCAGTTTTACTTTGTTCTTCATTTTCTCACGCAGTGTGATGAGTTGACCTCTAGGGGGCAGTCTCATTCCAGGTCTTTTGGCTAATTCGTTTCTAATCACTCACCTCCACGTGGCAGTTTTTAAATGGCCTTGTTAAAGCCATTGATCTTTTATGTAAGCATTTCTATTTACCCCTTTAAATATAAGTCATTAGTTTTTGAAAATATAAAACACTAGCGTATGAAAGAGTACGTAACTAAGCTCCTTTTGGCCGTATAGCCCTGTGTGTAATGTGTGTGTTGTTTGTGTGTGCCTTTAACATGTCAACATGCAAAGTTCTTTGATTGAAATTTCACCAGCTAAAATTGAAACACATCAGAGCTGAGGTGGGAAACCTGCATGAGCACAGCCATAAATTAACCTTCTCATACTTACTGGATATGCTAGGGAGTCTTTGAAAATAATAACAATAAGCAAAAATATTATTTAATGTTTACTAATGCAAATGCTTAACATACATGTATTCAGTGTTGCAAATCCTAACCGAAGGATTTTTTCTAATTGGATACTAGATAACACATGTATTTTTCTTTCCTGAGCTCAAACAAAGCCTCCTTCAATTGATAAATGCTTGGTTGAGTCCCTTACACTTTAGGAAGATGCTTTCATTTTAACTGACAGGCAGGTTTGGAGGATTTCTCACAGGTCTATGAATTTTGGAGTTATATTAAAATCTCCCATGGTATGTACCTATTATATGTATCTGTCTGTTTAATAGACGGGCGGGAGAAAGGTACACGTCAGTCTGCGCATTTAATTTTGGGTCATTTGCTATGTATATTAATTATAAGCAGACACAGCAGTGCATATCCAGAAATTCTCTCAGAAATCTGCATGCTCAAATTCCTCATCTTCTTCAAGGGTTTTGCTCAAAATTTCATCTTGTCAAAGATACTTCCCCTGAGTTCCTTATTTAATACCGCAACTTCCTCCCTATAACCACCACACTCCTGCTATAACCACCACAATTCTGATCTTCCTAACTTTGGTTTACAC